TAGAGAAGTGAGGTCTTCCATCATCTTCATGGCTCCAAATTTATCTGAATGAAAAGTTTTTCCACGAGGGCTCCAGCTGGATATAAATATTTGGAAACTGAGACTCCCTTGCTCAGTCCACCTTTAAAGTACTTTAAATCCCAACATCTGATTCTCCTTAAAGAAGGAGGATTTTCCTTTTTTTTTCCAGCAAGGAAAATCTCCCAGGCCATGGAGTGTGAGGGAGTATCACCAGCAGCACCTTGGGGAGCTTGGAAAAGAAAAGTCAGTAAAGGAACATCTGCCAGTGGAATTGTCAGGACGGGGGTTAAAACCACAGCTGTGTTTTCCCTTAATTCATGGAATTGTTCCTCCTGGGAGCTGCTATTTCCAGCCTCTGGTGTGCTCCTGAGCCTTGTGAAAGAAAAGGATGAAGATTAATTTCCCCCTGGAAATAAAAGCCAGGAGATGGGTTTAACTAAATGAACCATAATATTATTTTTTACTAATGTTCTGTGTTCCTCTAAATCCCAGCAAATTAAAAGAGAGGCATCACCACAGGCAAACTGCAAATTCCACACCTGGAATTAAACCCTGCAGAGGCTGAAGTGTTGGGTTTAGGTGGGACTGGGGATAGGGCTGTGAGGAGAGGGGTTAATTGGTACCCCTGTGTGGAGCTGGAGGCCAAAATGGGGCTGAAAATGGAGAATTAAATGAGGTTTTGGTGGCTGGAGGGTGAGCAGGGAAAAGAGTGGAGTGGTAGGAAAGGGAGGCTGGATGAAGGAGAGCAGACATTAATTAACACTCAGGATTTAGCAGAACCACATGTAAAGTGAATGTAAAAAAAACCCAACAAACCCAGAACCCTGAACTGAACAAGGAAAACGCTCCAATATCCCACGTGCCAACCTGAGAGGGAAGTGGGAACGCTGCCAGAGGAGTTTAACAACTTGTGTGCCTTGTGTCCTGGGAGCAGGGAAAGCTTTGGAGAGCTCCCAGTGTCGTCTTTGTCCCTGTGAGGTGTTGTGGGCAAGGCCAGAGGGATGAAGAAGTGGCAGGAATTGCTGCAGGGATCACAGCTGGGCCATTCCTGCATCCAGCAGGGATCCAGGGGCTCTGCTCCTGCACACCTGGAGGCTGGGCAGGCAGGGTTTGCTGGGGATGGATGCTCAGGCTGAGGTTGTGCTGGATGGAAATTGTGTTTTCCAAGGGGTTCCTGGGGCCTTGGGAATAGTGGGATGATGGCATCAAAGCCAGGCAGGATTTGCTTCCTGAAATTCTCCAGTGCAGGAGTGGAATTGATCCATGTGGCTCTCTCCCATTTCAGGATATTCCATGGTTGTGGGATAAATTTGGATTTCTGACAAGGTGATGGGAGCATTGGGAGCTCTTCCCATGCAGGGATGTGTGGGAACAGCTCCGCTGCCCCAGCTCCTGCAGCAGCAGGTTCTGGGCTCATTCCTGCTCCCAGGTCTGGTGGGAATGGTGAATCCATCCCTGCTCCAGAGCCTGGATGGGAGCTGGAGCTGTTGCTGCCTGTGAGGGAGCTGGGAGCTGCAATCCTTTCAAATTCAGCCTCCTAATTGCCATGTGGGTTCATTTTCCATCCCTGCCAGCAAACCAGCTCAGCACAGGCTTTGCTGCTGGCGTTTTCATGGTTTTGGTTCTCCTCCCAGCCATTTGCTGCCGTGCATTTTGGATCTGGGGAGGGAATCACTCCCCTCTTCCCATCTCCAGCCTTTCCAGGGGACAAGTGGCTTTCCAGCCATCCATTTGTGTCCTTGAAAAGGGAAGGAGTGAAGGTGGTGAAACCTCCCGGCCCTTTCAGAGCAGGCTGGTGGGTTTGTAAGGCACAAATCCCTGCTTTTCCTTTGTTCCAACCCAAATCCCCCCCTGGGATCCATCCAAGGTGGCAGTTAAATTGAACCAGGGTCATTTGAGATCAAAGTGGCTGCTGCAAACAGCAGGAACAATGAGGGGAAGGGAGGTTTTGTTCCCCTCAAAAAGGAGGACTGAAAATGTGCATTTACCTTCCACCCTTGGGAAACTGGAATTCCAGTGGTTTATAGCAAGCTGCAGGAGGAAATTCCAGCTGCTGTGCTCTTGGATTCTTTAATTTTATTAAGCTTTTATCAACGTTTTTATTCTTTTTTTCTTCTCTTTTTCTTTTAGATTACAGTACCTATAGCCAAGCTGCAGCTCAGCAGGGGTAAGTAGCTTATCCTCCCTGTTTTAAAGAGATGTAATAAAACTAAATAATAATTATGGTTTGGGCTTAACTCAGGTATGTTTGGGAATCCTGGAGCTTTATATTTCCATAGAATTTCAGCAAGAAACCATTGGGCTGCATGAAAATTTGTGTGGTGATGCAGATTTGGGGCAAAATTATAAATGTCTTTACATTCATTCCACAGCTACAGCGCCTATGCACCTCAGCCAGCCCAAGGATATGCACAGACCACCCAGGTAAAACATGGGGAGGGGGTGCAATTCCTGCTCAGTCACCTGTTTGCCAGGAAAACTGGAAATTCCAAGCAGCAGCATCAAAATCTGTGGTTAAAAATTGTCTTGGAGATTCTCCCCCAGCCCAAAGTGCTTTTTAAAAGTGGAAATAACCTCAACAATCCCATTTTGGTTTTTTTTGGTAATTGATTCAATCCTGATCCCAGAAAAGCCAAATTTTTGGTGGGTGTTGTAATCAGAGGTGTAGGAGAGAAAAAAAAAAAATATTGGGAAAAAAGGGAGGGGAATTGCCTGTTGGGAAATGGCAGAATTGGACAAAGGAGGAGGAGGGAATCTGCTTTTTCCTGGAGTTTTTATTGCTATAATTGTTCATACTCTCAGTTGGCTGGACTGCAAAATAATGATGGTCTTTAAGAGATTAACTTCATGCTTATTTTTAACCTTTAGAATCCAAGTTACTACAACCACATTTGTCTGCAAACTCCAAGTATGTTTCCAAAGGTAAATTCTTGTCCTCACAAAGTGCTGTAGGCTTAATTTTCCTTCCCAAGAGGAGGAAGACAGGCTCAGTGTGGGCTGAGAGGAGGAAGGTGATGGTGATTTATTGAAATAAAAGTCTTTGGAGACCACAACTGGAAGAGCTGCTCCCAGTTGTAGGTGAGGTGAAAGGTGGGAGCAGGATAAGAGTAGGAACAGGAGGCCTCAGCAACTAAAACCAGCTAATTAAACACCTAACCAGCTAATTGAACACCTAACCAGCTAATTAAACCCCTAACCAGCTAATCTGAGCTGTAGGCACGTGTCCATGGGAAGTTTGCAGCGTTCCCTGCCCTCGGTGGAGGGAACTTCAGGGCCAGGGATGTGTTGACATTCTCAAAGCTTTCCTGCTCCTGGTTCAGACCTGAGTTCAGGGAGGCTGAATATCCCCAAAGAAGTCCAGAGAAATGTGAATTCTTTCAGAATGTGGAGGTTAAAGCTGTCTCCATGTCACTCCTCGAGTTTTATCCAGAGTTTTGTCCTAAGCCAGGAGCTGTTGGAAGCTTGCTGGTGCCTGCAGCATGAGCTGGTAGGGCATGGCTTGGGCAGCTGGTGGCACTGCTGGGCACAGCTGCTCCTCTCCTTTCCTCAGTGATTCTCAAGCTGGATTTGGAAACAAAATCAGGGAATGGGTGAGGTGAGAGCTGATCCCTCACTGAGCACAGGCACCGGAATGGGAGCAGCACACTGGGATGCTTTGGGTGTTCCATGGATCCCATCCTTCCATGCCTGCACCAGCTCCCATTTATCAAATTAATGCCTGATGGGCATGAAAAATACTCCAAATAATTTAACTGAAACCTTCCTCAGGTTTCTTTTAGGCAGCCCAGAGCAGTTTGACACTGGAGTGATTTTCCTTGGTGCAGTCCCGCCCTCGCAGCGCTCCCATTCCCGTGTTCCAGGTTGAGCCTGGGATGGTGCCTGTGGTAGCTGTGAGCAGCTGGGAGCTTTCCTGTTTGCTTTCCACAGAGCAGAGCTGTGTGGTGCCAGTGTCAAGAGCCTGTCCCTTGAGTCTTGGCAGGGAAAAACCACTCCATAGCCTCCTTGCAGAGCTGACCCGGAATTTCCCCGCAGCACCTAAACTTTCACAGCAGCCTTGGCTTTGGGAGCGCTCAGCAGCTGCAGTTCCTGGGGGTGCCTTGTGCTCATGGATTGAATGAATGTGTGTCCTTTTGGAGCAGACCTACGGGCAGCAGAGCTACGGCACCTACGGGCAGCCCAGCGACGTCAGCTACACACAGCCGCAGACCACGGCCGCGTACGGACAGACGGCCTACGCCACCTCCTACGGACAGCCCCCCACAGGTGAGAGCCCTGCTGGGCTGGGCTTGGGACAGGCCTGAATGTCACCTAGGCCCTGGGCAGGGACAGCTCCCACAGCTGAGCAAACTCTGGGCGAACTTGGATACTTCAGGGGTGTGGCGGCCAAGCTGGGAGTAACCTGTGTGAGTGCCCTGCCAGGGAGCAGTCCTGCCCAAAATCCCATCCAGCCCTGCCCTCTGGCAAAGGGAGGCTATTCCCTCCCAGGGAACAATCCCTGATTCCCAAAATCCCATCCCTTCCTGCCCTCTGGCAGTGGGAAGCCATTCCCTCCCAGGGAACAATCCCTGCCCAGTATCCCATCCATCCCTGCCCCTTGGCAGGGGGAGGCCATTCCCTTCCAGGGAACAATTCCTAATTCCCAGTATCCCATCCATCCTTGCCCTCTGGCAGGGGGAGGGCATTCCTTCCCAGGGAACAATTCCTAATTCCCAAAATCCCATCCATTCCTGCCCTCTGGCAGGGGGAAGTCATTTTCTGCCAGGGAACAATCCCTGCCCAATATCCCATCCAGCCCTGCCCCATATCCCATCCAGCCCTGCACTTCTGGCAGTGGGAAGCCATTCCCAGCAGGGAGCAATTCCTAATTCCCAGTATCTCATCCATCCTTGCTCTCTGGCAGTGGGAGGGTGTTCCCTCCCAGGGAACAATCCCTGATTCCCAATATCCCATCCATCCCTGCCCTCTGGCACTGGGAGCCATTCCCTGTGTGCTGTCCCTCCATCCCTTGTCCCCAGTCCCTCTGCAGCTCTCCTGGAGCCCCTTCAGGCCCTGCCAGGGGCTCTGAGCTCTCCCTGGAGCCTTCTCCTCTCCAGGTGAGCACCCCCAGCTCTCCCAGCCTGGCTCCAGCCCTCCATGGCCTCCTCTGGACTGGCTCCAGCAGCTCCAGGTCCTTCATGGAATGGTTTTGGCTGGGAGAGACCTTAAAGCTCATCTGGTGTCACCCCTGCCCTGGCAGGGACACATTCCACTGTCCCAGGCTGGCCTTGGGCACCCCCAGGGCTGTGGCAGCCATGCATAACCAGGAATAAATGCACTGTTGAGTTTTCAGGGCAGGGTTTGGGTGCTGTGGGACCCAGCAGGACGTGCTGTGCCCAGAGCAGAGTGAGCAGTGTCCCTGGCTGCTCCTCAGCCCTTCCCTGCCAGTGCTGTCACTGCAGTGACATGTGCCTGTTCTGATCCTGTGCCTTCTCCTCCTCATCTTGTGCTTCCCACAGTGGAAGGAGCCAGCCCAGGTTGGGGTTGGCCTGTCCTGCTCAGTGTTGCATGGAAAATTCTGTCTCATCCTGTCAGAACCTGAGGTGCCCTTTGGTGGAACCCTGGGGGTGTCACTTGGTTTCAGTGCCAAACCCTGGAGTGCCAGAGCTGCCCCAGGCAGTGACAGTGACCCAGGCAAGGCTGCAGGGCTCTTTGCCATCTCCATGGGTCAAATCCTGACCACTGAGACCTTTTATGTGACTCCAACCCCATTTCCTAAAAGATAAACAGCATCCTGCCCTCCACCTTTGCATGCCCCGTGGTGGTTTTGGATTTCCAGAGCAGATTCTTGCTCCTTCATGCTCCATAAACTCTCCCAACGTGTTCCTGGAGCTGGAATTTCCTCCAGTTGAGTGTCTGAATGTTTAAAGCTATTAAGGCAATGTTTAATTCATGTATATTCATGTTTATTTAATGTATGTTTGGGCTGAATATTCAGGAGTTTTAGGAAGCAGATTTTCCTCCCAGTGATTCCTTGGGTGTTGTGTCCTGCACATTCCTGGGAGAGACATCAGAAACATTTTGTAGTTGGAATTCAACACTTCCCAAAGCAAGGGAATTCCAGGACAGACAGACAGACAGACACTGGGATATCTGGCTGTAGAGGCCATTGAGGAATTCATCACAGGGAGGAGCTGGAGAGAAAATATTAACCCAAATGAAAATATTTACCATCTTTACACGCATCAGGAAAATTCCTGCTCCTGACATCCCTATCCATTAGCCAGTGGCACTGGGGGTTATGTACAGGGCTTTTTCCTTTCATTTAAGGCTACCTAGAGAAAAGTTGGCAGCAAAAAATGATTTGTGAACTTCCAAAATTCCTTTCTTAGAAATATTTACATCCCTGTGACTCCTGTGGATTCCAGTCCCACAGGGGTCACAGGAAACTGCTCTGTTTATGTTTTTCCTTCTCCCTTAAGAGGAGATTTGCTGCAAGAATAATAATAATAACAATAATAATAATATCAGGCTTTTTTTTTTCTGCACAGCTGCACATTTTGTTTTCTTGGTAGGCAAAAAAAATAAAAGCTTCATTTTCTTTTCATCCATGAAAAAAAAAAAAAACCACCAACTTAGAAAAGTGGTCAAGCAAAAGATCCTATCAGCCCACAGAGCAGGGCTGTGGCAGCTCTGGGCATGGAGCCAGGCTGGATTTATCCTTCCTCCACCTGCCTCTCCTTGAGGAGCCAGAGCTGTGGAAAGGAGACTGCAGCCTCTCCCTCCCTCCCTCCCTGCTGCCTTTCATGCTCAATAAACCCCTGGGGCAGACACTGCCATGCCCTGAGACACGTGCACTCCTTACAGCTGCAGCCCAGTCCTGTTTTCCTGTCAGTCACCTTTTTATTCTGCAGTTCCTTAAAGCAATTTTGTTGTTTTTGTTGCCTGAACAGCCTGGGGTTTGGGTGAGGTCAAGGAAATCCAAGGTGTGTGTGGATGCAGCCTCTCAGGATGGGTGGGAATGGCAGGGATGGATTTTTTCATCACCACCCAGTTGGCACCGTCCTTCCCTCCCTGGGGCTGCAGGAAAAGGTGTCTTGGAGAAAAAAGGATTAGTTAGGGATCACTGGGCACCCTCAGACCTGTGCCTCATTAATCAGTGCAGGGTGTTGGCAGGAATTCCAGGAGTCAATAAATAAAGAGCATTTTGCTGTCCAGCTGTGGATCTGTTGGAAGTGGGAATTGCTCTCTAAACCAGCCAGCTCCTGCTTCCCTTTACCTGGGAAATTTGGGGTGTGGATATTGAAATTTCTAAAAATGTCAAAATTCTCATTTGGAATTAATGAACACACAGCTGCCATAACAACCCCAAAATATCCCAAAACTGGCTGGAGAGAGAATGAGCTCTGCATCTTCTGCAGCCCTCACTGGTGGGATAGACACAAGCAGGAGGCAGCTCTGCTCCTGAAGGAATCCCTGTGGAAAAAGGGAATCCCTGTGGAAAAAAGGAATCCCTGTGGAAAGAAGGAATCCCTGTGGAAAGAAGGAATCTCTCTAAATCCAGCCTTTTCCAGTTGATATTCTCTGCAGGTCAAATCCTGCAAACTTCACCACCACCTGGAGAATTCCTAGCCTTCCTTTGAGGGGAATTTAGGCACTTTATTCCTTCTGTCACCTTTTTCTTTCACCAGCTTTTCTGCTGTGTCAACTTTTATCTTCCTGGCTGGGAGGGGAGGAGAGAAAAGTGGTATAATAGAAATGTCACCCTCAAAACAGCAGCTCCTGAGGGTTCCCAGAGTGTCTAAACTGGGCTTGATTTGTGATTTAAACCAGTGGGGTGGGAAATCACTGCCTTTCCTTTGGGACAAACCCTTCCTGCTGTTCACTGTTCCATGAGGGAAATGCTCCATCTAGAGCTGAAGCTTTAAAATTCAACTTTTTTTTTTTTTTTTTTTTCCTCCCTTTTATCCTGCTACCTGTGCAGATCCAGCACAGGAATTGAGGAATTCATCACAGGGAGGAGCTGGAGAGAAAATATTAACCCAAATG